GCAATTTCCTGCTTAAAAGTTCGATAGATCTCTAGTGCGGACTTCTTAATCATGCCCATTCTCCATATGTCAGTCTCCGTTTCCTTCACTTTCTTCTTAACCGATAGTTCTTTTTGGTTTGGCCACCTGCTGTTTTCTAAGTATTTACCAGTCAATTTCCTGGTTCGCTTCCTCCATTTTGTATCGACATTCTTCATGTACAAGTAGCTGAAAACCTTCCTAGCCCAACGCTCTTCCCCCATTTCTCTCAATCGCTTCTCAAATTTTATCTTGCTGCTAGCTTACCTGCCCTCAAACGATGTCCATCCCATATCACCTTGTACTCCCTGATTTGGTGTATTCCCGTGAGCTCCTAAAGCAAGCCTACCTATTCCACGTTGCTTAATTTCTAATCTTGCTTGAACTTCTGATCTCATGCACAAGACCGCATTGCCGAACGTCAGCCCAGGAACCATGACCCCTATCCATATTCCTCTCACAACATCATACCTATTGTAATTCCACAGTGCCCTATTTTTCATGACGGCTGCATTCCTGTTACCTTTAGTCGTCACGTATATTTCGTGTTCCCCTTTAGTCGTCACATATATTTCGTGTTCCCTCAGATACTCGGTCCCATTGCTTATCCATACGCCCAGATATTTGTATTTATCTGTTATCTCTAGCGTGACCTCCTTTATTCTAAGCTCACTACCTTCGTTGTCATTGAAAATCATGACTGCTGATTTTTCCTTACTGAATCTAAAATCTAACCTATCTTCCTCATTACCGCAGATGTCCATCAATCTCTGCAAATCTTCCTTGTTGTTGGCCATTAGCACTATATCATCTGCGTATATTAATGCTGGTAGTGCCTGATCAATAAGTTTTCCTTGTTTGACTAAAGAGAGGTTGAAGCCCAGTCTAGTTCCCTCTAATTTGGCCTCTAATCCTTGTAGGTACATCATGAATAATAAGGGTGACAGGGGACACCCCTGCCTGAGCCCTCGTTTTACCTCTGCAGGCTTGGATACCTGTTTTTCCCACTTTATAACTACCTTGTTACCTTTATAGATATCCTTTAAAAGATTAGTGACTACATGTTCCACGCCTAGTGTGTCCAGTATTCCCCACAATTCCTCTTGAACCACGCTATCGTACGCTCCCTTGATATCCAAAAATGCTAGCCACAGGGGCCTGTGTTCCTTTTCTGCTATTTCGATGCACTGCGTCAGTGAGAACAGATTGTCTTCCAACCTCCTGTGTTTCCGAAACCCATTCTGCAGTTCCCCCAGCACCCGCTCAACCTCTATTCACGCCTGCAGTCTTTCCTTTAAAATCTGCATCGCCAGCCTGTAGACCACTGATGTCACTGTTATAGGACGGTAGTTGTTTATGTCAGCTTTGTCCCCCTTTCCTTTATAGGTCATGCTCATTCTGCTAAGTTTCCATCCATCGGGAACTTCACCATAGATTATTATTGTTGGCGTTTTTGTGCAAAGCGCCATCGCGTGGACAACACCAGAAGTCCAGCTGGCCGAGGGCTGAACTTCCAATTATGGAAGCTACGTAATTCTTGTGGCGGAAATGCAACAGATGGTGCTCACCAACACAGCCGCCATCATGATCAACACAAACAAGCGAGGCATGTTTCTATCTCTGGGGCTTGCTGTTCTGTTGGAGGCCCAGGGGGGCACGACATGCCGCGGCGAGTGCGCAACGAAAATTGAAAAAACTATTTATTAACCGATATATACGCGATAAGCTGGTACGGTTTATACGGATACAATATGCATTATGTTCAATGGCCGTCGAGTCGGGGATTTGGCTTTACTACTTTTAAAAAGAAACTACTGTTTAAGGGGGGAGACTACCCCGGTAACAGAACTTTTTATTTTGTTAGATACCTTGATGAAACTTTCAGGGTATGTTCACAACAATAAAACTAAAGAAACTTCATGAAATCGTGTTTAGTAGTTCTAGAGTTATTGATGTCTGACTGGGTGAATAACGTGTGCCTGAGGAAGAGCGGGAAGAAATTGCAGGACATTGCTGAATGCTGAAATTATCTGTGGCCATCCCTGAATAGATATTCTAGGGTGCTAAAGAGCCATTTTTTTTTAATTTGCCCTCCAAAAAAATTTTATGCAACTTTGAATTTGATGTAGCCAATAAATAGGACATTTATAAATAATGAACTGTTTATTAATAATTAATAGCACCAATTTAAAAAAAAAAGAAGCTTGTTTCACCCTGGCAAAATCATCCAGGTGCAGAATAAAAGAAACGGCGCACAAATCTGATAAGCAGTTCTTGAGAAATCGCTTTCCTCAGCACCACAACTAGCCAAAAAATTCATTTTGAAAAAAACTGGCTTTGAAAGTTCGGCACATGTGTTTTCCTCAAAAAGCTCCAGCAGAGTAGCTTGAAGTGTCCCTGTGCACTCTTTTTCTCTTTTGTCTTCCCTTCATATTCTCTAAGTGCCGTTTGCAATTGTTTTTTCAGGCATAGGGCATCTCTTTCAAGAGGCAGCTGCATCAGTTCAAATTTTTTTTTTTGCGTCGCTGGCGTAGATTCGAGTTCAGCGCGAACGGTGTCTCGACGTCTTGCATTCTCATCGATTTCTTCCTTAGTTAGGAAATGAGTTCGCAGATGAAGGGTCGACAGGCCTCGCACGCTTGATGGCCCCAATGCAGACGAAGTGCTGGGTCTGGCGATTTCAGCAACACTCGGTGTCATCCTCGACGGCACCGATTCAGAGCTCATGTTAGATCCGGCGATCTCAGACACGCTCGATGCATTCGTGGCTCCAGGTACACACGGTGTGTCATATTCTGGACTGGTGGCAGCTGACAGCACAGTTTCATCGCTGCAAGCCTCTACGCACTGGTCACTTGCAGCATAAAAGCGGAATTTCGATTCTCGTGCAAGCCGCATAACGCGTTTCCGTGCTCCGAACTTCCACACTGTCTTTGGCTTCGTTGCCGGCATCACGCACAGCAACAAAGATAAAGGGCACAGAACTTGTGGTAAAAAAAAAGAAAAAATGATAAACTGATTGAAAATACAGTGCAAGGCAAAAAAGCGGCCGGTAAGCAGACGTCTGTTGAGGCAGACGGAGCAGACAGCAAGAGCGAGACGAGCGCACCAGCCATGCCATTGCCGAGAGGGACCCCGCCCCCGCTTCCAGCGGAGCAGCCAATGGCGGGTGCGCTTTCGCTCGTGAGATATGAATGAGCTGCTCTAGCCAATAAGTGTTTCGCATCACGTTCAGGGGAAACGCCAATAGCATCTCAACCGTGTTGTTGACGCCATTTTGAAAGGCGTCAAACGAGAGGAAAGGAATTCATGGTCAAAACAAGACCAACAGCCAGTGGGACAGCCGCATGGTCTCGGAATAGCGCCCACGCGAAGTTTTGTTTGATTTTGGCTTTTGCGCGTGTTCTGGGCGCTGCAGCGGCTTAGAAAATAGCGTGTTTTCTTTTTTTTTGCACATTGTGGTTGAATTAGGCGCTCAAGTTTACAGAATAGGTAGTTTATGTTGCATACAACCCAACATTATACAGTCGAACCTCGATATATCCAGAATTCGATATAAAAAAATCACGAAAAGAATGCGTCAACAGCTTGCTGAAAACAACCAACGAACCGTTCAAGCGTGGTGCAGTAAATACTCACTTGAAGATTCAAACATAGTATTTATTGTGTTGGTTTAAAATATTGAAAAAGAGTAGCCTGCTTTTTGTTGGCCATGGCGTGTTTGACGACTGCGTCCTCAATATAGTCCAGGCGATCCATAAGTGATAGGCCGGTGCCTTCAATCGCGCCGCAGTGGCGGCGCACAAGGGCCAAGGCAGCTACGACCTCAGCTGATGTCGGGAGCGGGGCACCATCAGCGCTTGCGGGATCCACCTCGGCAGAGTCTTCATTTGGCTGCTCAGCAGTAGCTTCGGCGACAAACTCCACATCCGTGAGCTCCGCCGTTCGGAGTTAGGCCTGTCGCGCACGACAGCGCGCGACAGGCCTAACTCCGAACGCACGTACACTGCGAGCACAACGACCGATGCCTGCCGATGCTACGGGGGAGGAGCTTGCAACAAGTGCGCAGTGTGCCGTTGACATCATAGAGACTGCAACGACTGCAAGCTGCAAGGCTGCGGCGTGAGTCCGGGTGTAAAGCGCGCACATGGCGCGCCCATGCCGGCGCGCCTGACTGCTTTCCTCTCCATGGCTTTCCCTTTTCCGGCGGCAGCACGGGCCGCGTCCGAGACAGTCGTCTGCGTCCTTTCCCTCCTATACTTTCCTCCTCAACCTTTACCTCCCACTCCCCCTTCCCCCGCACGAAGCCGTGTCGGTGCCTTCGTATTGCAAAAAAATAACAGCTCCGCGCTTTTCACTTTCCTCACTCAAGAACCTCTACCGCAAGGCTGCCGCGCTTGTACGCCGCTACGTTAAAGTGGCGCTCTCGGCGCCATCGATGTGGGCAGCATTCGTAAACGCCCGCCGCTCTACCGCTACTTTCGAGAGTTGCGGGAAAGCTCGCCGCCTGTCAATGGAGCGCGGGCGGTTTGGGGTGGCTGAGTTCGATATATCCATTATATGTCAAACTTTGTTCGAAATAAAAAAATCAATAATGCATGTGATTTCCCGCGTGATATAGGAACCGTTCGATATAGGCAATAATTCGATATATCCATGTTCGATATATTGAGGTTTGACTGTAGTTTTTCAAAAACAGACTTTTTCGCTTTTTTTTTTTCGGTTTTCGTGGGCCACGTCCCCCCTTAAGCGGGTATGGTTTAACGAGGTTTTACTGTACAACAAAGTCACATCTGCCATGAAAACCCTTCGTTATATTTGAAAAATCATAATAAACATTTATTCATGACTACGACAAGGCTATCCTTCACTCACTTCATTATAACCGATAATTCCTTATATCCACATTTGTTTTAATGAGGTTTGATTGTATTACTGAATACTCTCAAGACTGTTTCTTTTTTTTTCTGTTGTGATTGCAGATTTGTAGTGGGTGTCAAAAGTATGGAGCAAGCATTCGGTGCCACTTACCAGACTGTGGCTTGATCTTCCATTTCCCCTGTGCGGCAGCGTATGGTTGTTTCCAAGTGAGTATGGCTTTTTGTTGTGCTTGTGTGTGTGGCCTGCGCGGTTACGTTCGTACTGCTCGAAGTATTTTTGGTTGTGAAGTTTACCAACCCATTCTTGCTTTCTCTTTTATTCAGGACATGAAGGCCCTGATACTTCTTTGCCCTTCCCATGCCGACAAAGCCGTGTCCTATGGTGGGTATCAGATATTTCTTCAGTGTGGGCCTTGAATACTCCTTGAATAAGAGGGAGGTATCCATTGATATGGAAAAATTCTCTGTTGCATCAAAGTAGGGTCAGAAAACTGGCCCTCCCATTTACATGTGTGCAGGCACATGTACTTCGTATCGTCGTGGTATCTGTGTTCATTGACTGCCATCAGTGGGAAAAAAAATAAAGCATGATTACTTGAGAAGGCACTGCTACACCTACATTAGTTTGTTTAGAACGCTTAATGGAAAATTTGTTGACTGTGCCCATGCGTTATATTCCTCGTGCTGCCTGCTGTGCATGTGCCAGGCGTAGTGGGCTTTGTTGCGGTCTTTTGTAGAGATGGGTGAATACAGTGTACTCATGTTACAACGAACCGACATGATGTGGCAAAATGGGTCTGTATTATTCAATCTAACACTGTAGGAGGGGGGTGGGGGGCTGCACGTCGCCGTATGACAAATCATTTCGATTTCGCTCAGCAGTTAGGGGCAGGCAGTTCCGCTGATGCATGTTGCATGTGTTTGACAGCATGGCTACAAAAGACTTTGATCACCAGCAGCTGTTATTAACAAGATTGCGTTGCAAGTTGTGATTAACAACAGAGTGCAGCTGCAGTAAGTGCAGGGATGCTATCTGTCCCCTGCAGAGCAGCATAACCTAGCCCAATTATTCAGTTTATAGCAGGCTTTTTCAGCCACTTCTGTTGTTCAGCTTAGAATTGTTATTTTTGTGGACGGGAGGCGTATTCCCTTAAGGGGGCAGGCTGGTCTTTGGGACCAAAAAGTGACAAAGATATTCATTTTTTTTAATTGACGTATTTGAATCCTGCAAGTATTTTTCTATCTGCAAATTTTCACACACCAGGAAGTGGTAATGTCGTTCTAACTGTGCAGATTCTTGGTGCTGTTAACATGCAGAACCTGCGAAAAAATGGGGAACTGACTTCGAGGCTTCTTTATAATTTGCCGGCATCTGTGTTAGAAGCTCTGCTACAAATTTATGAGCCCCTTTATGAGGATTGCAAAACATGTGCACCGTGATTCTTGCTTTTTGAAGAAGCTGTGTGTTTCTAGTTTTTTTTTATTTTTCTCAAAAAAAGTAAATTTACGACTGTTCAATTTTGAGACCTCAATATTTCTAAAGCTAGAGCAGGTGCAACAATAATTCTTTTTGCAATGGAAACCTCTATGTATGTAGAATGCAAGCATGGGAGCACAGTTTAGAGCGCAAGCCTTTTTAATTAAATAATCATCAAAATTGTAACACAATTCCAACCACTTTTGAAAATGGATAGTTCATTTTGCTGTAATATAACCAAGAAAGGCCTAAAAACAAGCAAACAAAAAAAACTTGCATATTTTCAATCTATAGCCATTAGTCTATGTTGGCCTATCTTAAATATCACTTTTAATTAAGCACTTTTTTTTCTATGGCAGCATTAAACAATAGAGGGTGAACTTAAAATTATCTCAGGAACATGATGAGTTACAGGAAAACTAATTTAAATGTTTGAAATCAGCAGAAAAAACTGCATAATCCTGTGCAGTTTGATCAAGATCACTGAAAAAAAAAAAAAAAAAATGTCTAAGACCAGTCTGCCCTTAAATTGGGTAAACCGTTGGCGCTGGGAGCTGTTTCTCCCACGCAGCATACAGCTCGTGGGTCAATCCAATTGTTGGTGTGAGTTCTGAACTGAGCGGCACCAAGGCATTTTTTTTTTGAATTAATATTCTACACTGATACCTGATTTTAACGAAGTTGCATACCACGCCGAAATATATGTTTGTTATATCTGAAAATTTGTTGTAGAGGTATATTCCTAACACTTTATCCATTGCAAGACTATTGTTCATTTACTTTGTTACAACCAATATTTGGTTATATCTGGGTTCATTATATCGAGGTTTTAGTGTACTTTGACAGTAAAACTCACCTGCTTAGAGCACCAGAATGTCTTATTTTCAAAACATTGGTTAACACTAGACTCAAAAAGAAAGTTATGATAAGAGATTGGTAAGCGCTTTTCTCTTGAGCACTGATGCTATCACTTTACGCTGCATTTCAGTCATCTGCAACACTTGAAACATTGGCGTAGCCAATGTCCCGTCAGACTGCCTTGGCTGGATGGAGGCTTGACCGATGTTAATGATGATGAAGCAAGCCATTAGTGTTGCCAGCCAGAATTTAACATTGCTGTGGCATCAGTGCGCAGAGAGTGGTGTGGTCAAGTCTGTTGTCATCTCACGTGAACACGACAAAGTTACACTTTTTGCACCCAATTTCGAAAACTTCTGCAAATGCTGTTCACTGTTGTCAGTAGTCCATTGCATCGCGGTACGTTAAAAGTGAACTTCGTTTCATTAGCTTAATACACAAACCAAACTTGGGCTGAATAATGGTCCGTTGTGTCTTAAAGTGCGTTGTATCCGTGTTCCTTATAACGGCTAGTAAAGTTTGAGGTACAAAGTGAATTCAAAGTGAATACAGTCGAACACGGATATATCGAACTCAAAGGGGATCTTGAATTAGTTCGATATATGAAAAATTCGATATAAAGAAGAGAGGCTCCGAGAGCTTACCTGTAGCAGATCATCTCCTACGATAGGCGCATTCAAGAATGACAACTAATTCTGCCCACACGTTGCAACAGAATGATTGATTTGCGTGAAAAAAATCGCGAATCTTGGCCTGCATATTCATTTTTAAAATGTTGAAGACGCTAGTCTCGATCTTATCAAGGCTGTCCAGGTGCGACAGCCCGGTTCCTCCATGTGCCCGATACAATAACAAATGATGCGAATGCTGCCGCCACTGCCGAATGCTGCTGCCACTTCAGCGGCATAGTATGCGTTCGTCCAGACGATCGTCCTCGTCACATGAGCTGTCGTCCTGGGCATTGCAGTTTGCTTCCAGGAAGTCGTCCGCTGTCACTTAGTGTGGAACGGCTGCTGGGAAGCGGGATGACAAGTCGCGAAATGTGTTGTCTATGCACTCGTCGTCTTCACCGGTTTCCGCAAGTTCTGCCGTCTCGAAGCTTGCCTTGCAAGAGCAGTTGACCACTGTGTCCGTCTCCAGGTCTCGCCAGGCATTGAAGATCTCTGCGGCAGAAAATGTTGCGGAGATTTCCGTCCACTCCTTCGTCATCCACTGCTGGATGTCCTAGTTGCTGACAGCTTCGCTTTCGTTTTTTGCCAACGATGTTGTAGCGCTGCTTAAATCGGTGAAGCCAAGCCGCTGTTGTCGGCGAAGTTGTTTCAACGAGTGCAGCGGCAAACCACTTGACCTTGGCGATCAGCATTGGGTCATCCACTGGTGTGTTCTTCGTGTGCACATTTAAAAACCAGGCATAGAGTGCTTTTTCTACATTCCCATGGGCAGAATCGTGCACATGACAGGCTCCCGACGTTCGCTGCTTCGCCCCCTTTGCCTTGATATCTGCCTTGTTTTTCAACAAGGTACTGAAAGGGATCCGTAGTATCCCGAAGTCGTCCGCGACGGTCGAACATTTCTCGCCTGCCTCAACATGCTGAATAGCCTTCAACTTCGTCGCAAAGTCAAGGGTCTTGCGCTTCTTGCCGCTGGCCATAGCTACACGAGAAGTTGACAATACAAGGAGTTTGCAGCGGCTTTGCTCACCAAGCATGCAAAAGAGAAATGGTCCACATGCAATGGTATGTAGGCGATGTGACAACAGAAGAAACTTAAGGGGAGATGCTACTCGGAAAATGATTTTCTTTAATAAGAGTCTGAATTGAACACAAATTGACATGCTAAAAGAGTATTTTCTCCTCTTTTCAAATATGTCATTTTTTTTCATGTAGCTTGTTTGGTTTTATTTCTGAAGCCCAGATACTGCGAAATTATGGCCATTGTTATGCGATAATTCTGACCTATAAAACTTCGAGATAAATCATGCAGATTTAGCCCACTATGATCCTTTGGAACTGTAGAGTGCGGAAAACTACACAGGTTTCATGTGTAAAAAGGTAAAATACAATAATAAAATAGAAAAATCTACCATGGCTATAGTTGCCAAGGGCTTTCAATTTTACTTAATATATTGAAAAACATAACTAAGCAGCATTGGAAACAAAATTAGATACTTGCACTCTACAGACCTCCATCATGTATGTGCAAAATTTCGTAGAGTTTGGACTAGCGTGCATAAGCAGCACAGATGACACAAAACTGCAAAAGGAGAAAAATGCATTTGAAAGTTTGAAACATTTTTTTTTACCATAGAGTTGTCAGAAATGCATAATCTCTGGCCATAATGTTCAAGAGAACTTTGAGAAGCACTACAAGTTATTAGAACTGTCCTCCAGCATAGCTTGTGCCTTCATGGTCCTCGCGAGCACACTCTTCGAGCTGTGCCTTTTTCACTCCACGATGACGGTGGGCCCTTGCTTCTGCTGTCAAACGCCCGGACATCCTTTTGATGCACTTCGCATTGCAGGAATCGCTGAAAGCAACTAGATCCCTAGATGGGAGTATGTTCAGCCCTTCCAGGATGTGCTCGAATCTAGCATGACCCTTATAGAACCAGAGGATTGTGATAGTTGCGGCAGCCTTGACAACTATTCGGGTGACAAACTTGGTCTTGGGGCAAAGTAGCCATATCTTGCTGTTCAGGGATTCCGACGCATTTTGAGTTTTTTCTTGAATGCATCGAGCAGGGAGCTCCTCATCTGTAAGTTGCAAAATCTCGACAGTTGCTCATGCCCGATGCCAACAGCGCATGCAGCCACCACCGCCTTCACATTTACGGCGAAACTATCTCGGGAGCTCCCCTCGTCGTACCGTTAGCTCGCCCAGCTGCTGTTGTTCGCCGTAACATGCGGCGACGTAGAAGAGCACGAAAGTGAAAGTACAGTCGCTAAGCATTCGCCGTTTTCACAATGAAGTTCGAGGAGCGACGAAAGTCCCTTGCGCTTTTCTGCCGGCTCCCGAACTGTAAGTTGTTTACATTCGAGCCCGCTTAT